AAGGACAAGTCTACTTGTGTAGGGAGGTATGTGAATCGCAGACCTCTTCACAGAAGCTCAAAAGGTCAACAATGTGCCAAAATAAGGCCAGATAATACTGCCAATCTTAGGGCTAAGCGAAATTTAGCATGATCCTATTTACTCTGTCATATTCAATTTCCAGAAAGGGCAGGAGAAGGGAGCCAAAATCTGCTGAACTGACCAACTATGTGTCACGTTCCTTACCCATGTTATTTCATTTAACTTATGTCAGAAAGGGATTTTGGATCCAGTATGCAGAACCAGAGTTCCTCCTTCCCGAGGGCATTCAGAAAAGTAGAACTTCTGAAAAGTCTTCAGCTGTTGCTCCAACAAGGGCAATTGTGTTTCTGGTGTACATGTTGATAGCAAATGACATACTAATAGAACCCACATGCAAAACAGGATTTTAGTTGTACTGAAAATGCTGACATCCACATCAAGATAGGACATACACACGCCTGCCTGGCTCAATCATTCGCGCACGCGACTCTTAACCTCCGGGTCATGAGTTCAAGCCCCATGTTGCATCTGGGGCCCCATTTAAAAAAAAAAAGAAAGAAAGAAGGGACATACACAGCCCCAGAGTTAGAGGATATGTCACATAGCTCCTTCTTTGTGAGACAGTGATTGCCGTCATTTCCACAACTGCAGGATTAGACAATTAAGTCCTCATAAACAGCTGCTCTAGTTCACAGACCACAAACTCAAAAAAAAAAAAAAAAAAAATTGGCTCGGGGCGCCTGGGTGGCTCAGTCAGTTGAACATCAGACTCTGGCTCAGGTCAGAATCTCATACAGTTCATGAGTTCGAGCCCCTTTATTCAGGCTCTCTGCTGTCAGCAGAGCCCCTTTGCGATCCATTGTCTCCCCGCCCTGCCACCTCCCCCGCCCATCGTCCCCTGCTCATGCTCTCTCTCAAAAATAAACACTAAAAAAAAAAACCAAAACAAAAAACGGCTCGATTCACATACTGACTCTAAAAAGATGCCCCCTTCATGGGCAAAAGACACTGTGGTGAGAGGTCCTTAAAATTCAACAGAGGGAATCAAAAGTGCTTTATTTTTGAGGAGATAGCATTCCGAACTCTTTAAAGAATTCAAAGTTCAAGGCTCTATGCTTCTTTACAATAGGACAACCATTCTAGCTTCCAAATAGCATCACCTTACATTTCTATTATTGACACAGCAATTCCACATGCGCTAATTAAGTAAATCCTCTGTAACAATTTAGTAGGTATTGTGGTACTCTGCCCAGCTATCGAACCACTGACTACTATTGAACTTTACAAAACCACGAGGGACTTCAGAGTCATGAAGCCCACAGCTGCGAGGGAAAGATGTTCTGCATGTGAAAAAAAATTAAAGAAATGTGCCACTTCCCCAAAGCTAAACACTTATGCCAACAGGCCCAAATCCTCTGGAGATAAAAGCTCTCCATTACCTCAAGGGCCTGAAATTAAATGCCTCAAAACCTCTACATATGCTCAATGCTCTCTGGTAATTAACCAGAGAACAAGTGCTTCTATTATTCATGTTCTTGTCACAGGCATTTGCCGAGAGACAAGTAACAGCTATTTCTAAGCAAGATTCAAGGGAACCTAGCCATTGACTGAGAAAAGGGCTAGTCTTTGGCCTGTGTCATAACCACTTCTCCTCTCAGTTTGGTTTGCTTTTTTTTGTGGTGGGGGGGGGGGTGTGGGGGGGGGGTGGTAAGAGCGCCGAAGAAAGTAGTAATAAGAGTTACTTGCTTAAGAAACAGAATTTAGAGCTGTGTTGTAACCATGTGCGTAATGAAATGCTTAGGACATGCCAGGCTTCCAAAGCAGGAAGCAGGCAAAGGAAGTGCTGTGGTTTCCTTTCGGGTAGGGATTCCCCTCTTGGGTTAAGCAAAAGGTCAGGAAAGATAAAGGCCCTTCCCCAATGTCAACAAAGTCCAAGGATGGTTGAAATTCCAGGAGGAATAGGAGTTCCAAAATGTCCTGTTACAGTGATATCCACATCATTTTATATATATGTAAACTCACAAATAATAGTCTCTGTTTTAGAGGGGGAAATGATGTCTAACGTCTCCAAATGCCCTATTATTTAATGTATACCACTTAATGACAGCCATCATATTAGGAGGAAAAGTTACAACAGCTCAAATTGTACACAGTAGGAACTTAAAGGAACCTGGCTGAGAGAACGGTCTGAAGTTGAGGATAGTGAGGCAGTAATCAAAAACTGAAAATCACTTTACCTGTTCTTCCACCTCATAATAACTGCAACAGCATTTTTCTCTTTTATACCTTGTAACACCATTTTAACATACAGTATCATATTTAAACATAATTAAGATTCTTCTGAACCCTCAAAGTTTAAAAGGATTTTTTCAACTTACTCTTCAGTTCACCAAATAAAGAGGCTCTCTTGCTTTATTTCTTTTAACTAAACTAGGTTAGGGGTGCCTGGGTGGCTCAAGTCGGTTGAGCGTCCGACTTTGGCTCAGGTCATGATCTCACAGTCTGTGAGTTTGAGCCCCGCGTTGGGCTCTGTGCTGACAGCTTGGAGCCTGGAGCCTGCTTGGGATTGTGTGTCTCCCTCCCTCACTGCCCCTCCCCCGCTCAAGCTCCATCTCTTAAAAATGAATAAATGTTTAAAAAAAACAACAACTTTATGGGGCGCCTGGGTGGCTCAGTCAGTTGAGCGAGTTGAGCGTCCGACTTCAGCTCAGGTCATGATCTCGTAGTCTGTGAGTTCGAGCCCCGAGTCAGGGTCTGTGCTGACAGCTCAGAGCCTGAAGCCTGTTTCAGATTCTGTGTCTCCTTCTCTCTCTGACCACCCCCCATTCATGCTCTGTCCCTGTCTCAAAAATAAATAAACGTTAAAAAAACAAACAACATCAACTTTAAACTAGTTTAGACATGGTAACAAGCAAATTAATGTCTCTACTGGGAACGGTCTTCCATTCACCACTGCATCACTGCTCCCGTTTATCACCTACACATAACTCAGCCTGGTTTTGTTCGATTGGACATCTGAACTAGGAAAAAGAGGAAAAACCTGCTGCAGCTGTTGTACTACTCCTTCCTGTTGCAGAGCCAGCCAGTCACTTCCAACCTGATTCCATTCCAGGATATTTTGCTTCCAGGTCCTGGCCAAAGGCAGAGCAACTTCTCTAGTTCCATCAGTCCTAGAATATTCTTTTTTTTTTTTTTTTATTTTTAATTTTTTTTTTCAACGTTTATTTATTTTTGGGACAGAGAGAGACAGAGCATGAACGGGGGAGGGGCAGAGAGAGAGGGAGATACAGAATCAGAAACAGGCTCCAGGCTCTGAGCCATCAGCCCAGAGCCCGACGCGGGGCTCGAACTCACAGACAGTGAGATCGTGACCTGGCTGAAGTCGGACGCTCAACCGACTGCGCCACCCAGGCGCCCCTAGAATATTCTCTTAAATACACTTTTCTTTGTTAATATTGAGTCTACAGTCTTTAAAACCAATTTATTTCCTGTACCCCACCTCTTCTTCATGCCCTCAGTAAAAAGACTCTGATTTGGGTAAAAATACTCTTTTTAAAAAAAATTTTTTTTTTTTTAACGTTTATTTATTTTTGAGACAGAGAGAGACAGAGCATGAACGGGGGGGAGGGTCAGAGAGAGAGGGAGACACAGAATCTGAAACAGGCTCCAGGCTCTGAGCGGTCAGCACAGAGCCCGACGCGGGGCTCGAACTCACGGACTGCGAGATCATGACCTGAGCCGAAGTCGGACGCTTAACCGACTGAGCCACCCAGGCGCCCCAGATTTGGGTAAAAATACTCTTAACTTTCTATAAAAGCCAATCCTCCACTCTTATATAGTCCTTGAGGTTTTTAAAAGGTGCTCTTCACTTAAAGAACCATTCTGTGCCATCATAATAGATGAAAAAGCTCAGTTCCCTTACCTTTATTCTATGCACACCCCCACCTCCATACCACCCAAATAAATGCCAGTTTTTATTCCCTATAATACTACCTGTCAGCAAAAATATTTATTCGTTATCAAGCTCTCCAGTCTATTGCAGTTTTTCCTACCATCGTGCTCCTTTTCATAAAAGACTGAAATTGTGTTATTAACTATAAGCTACTTTTGATTATGGTGTTTCTCAAAGTCAGCACAGTTGTTCATGTCTAAACAGCACTGAATCCATGTCCTAGATACATATATATATATATAGATACACACACACACACACACACACACACACACACACACACACATACATAGAGCTGTCCATCTGGAGTAAAATCCTCAGGAATTAAAAACACATTGCTTTTCTTAATCTTGAACATATAAATGAAGTCTGTAATTTTAATAATTACAAATATAGGGGCGCCTGGGTGGTTCAACTGGTTAAGCATCCTGCTCACGTCGGGCCCTGTGCTGACGGCACGGAGTCAACTTGGGATTCTCTCTCTCCCCCTCCTCTGCTCGCTCTCTCCCAAAATAAAAAATAAATGACAGGGGCACGGTTGGTTAGGTATCTAGCTCTTGGTTTTGGCTCAGGTCATGATCTCACAGGTTTGTGAGTCTGAGTTCCGTGTCAGGGTCTGTACTAACAGCGTGGAGCCCGCTTGGGTCTCGGTCTCTCTCTCCCCGTCTCTCTCGCCCCTCCCCGGCTCTTGCTCTCTCTCTCAAAATAAATAAACTTAAAAAAAAATTACAGATATACATCTGGGTTTCTGTCTCAAGAGTGCTAATGGCATACGCCTGAGTGTTTTATCACGTCAACATTTCTATGGGATAGCTGGTTCAGTCATTTGGCTGATGGCACAGCCAGAATTACTGTTCAAGGCTATTAATACAACTTCTCGCATCAGTAAGACTGTAGCTGGTTGTCACATGATTGATGAGAAAACAAAAGCCTTCTGGGCAAAGCACAGCCGGTCGGCCTGACGAGGTCACAGAAACCTCACAGCCGGCACGCTACTGCCTCCTCTGGCTGTTCCAGCAGGACGTACCTCTTCGTAATTTTTCGCCTCCACTCCGTGCTTCATGTCTAGAATCACGAGCTGATCAGGTATCCGCCCTGTTCCTGAGAGAGAAATCAAAAGCTTCATTGTGTAGAATATTTAAAATTCCGGGAAGTCACCCACCCCCCTCCCTCTCTCTAACCCCTACCCTCTCAATAGAGGGAAACAGCCGCGACTCCTCCCCCTACTCAGCTGCAGAAAATTCCTGGCTCTGGCTAAAATCACAAGCATTCCAGACAAAGCCTCGATCTGTGCGGGGTGGCGGAAAGCAGTGAGAATATGCTGCTGGCAAACATCTCTGAGCAGGCAGGACATAAGCCACTGCAGCTGGCACTACAGAGGAACAGGAGAGCAGAAGGGATGACATACGGACTTTACCAGATTAGGAAATAAAACTCAAGTCAAAAAGTATAAAATTGAGTAGCCAATAGGTAGCGGGCACCAACTCAGACTGAAAAGGTACACTTCCACATCTGAAACGGCCTGTCAATTTTTGGAAAAAAAAAAAAAAAAAAAAAAAAAAAAGATTAATGGGTATATGCTAAGCTTGAATTTACTTAATATAAACATGAGTACTGAAAACAATACAGGATCTAGCTAATATTCCACATTAATTTGAACATTTTGGTCAATGGAAGGCCACTTCAGTAGGCTAATAAAATGTTATATAGGACGCACAAAACACTTAAAAGAGAAGAGCCCAAGAAAAATACTTGTAAATAAGAGTACAATTCTCAGGGATGCTTCTTAGAGAACTGTCTGTTTGGCATAGCAGGGCCAACAGAACTATGCTCGTATTAGAAAAAGTAAACTGATTCAGCTTGATCAAAAAGGAATTTAAACTTAAATCATCAGGTAGGAGAGAGGAAAAGACTCAGAGTCGCAGGCAACTGCTCGGCCCCAATCCCCTGGAATTCATCAATTCACCAAATTATTTATAAAATAAGAAGCTGCCTGCATGAAATCAGGAGTTTAGGGAAACAATGCCACTTAAGCATTGGGGTTCTTGAGACTATAAGCCAGAGAGAATGGTACTGTACCCTCTGCTGCCTGAACACTGGAGGTTTCTGATATGGACAAAAGTCAACTCAATAACTACTCAGTAAGAACTCACTAGGTGCTAGGACTGTACTGAATTACAATCTCTGCCTTCAAATAATTCCACGGGAATCTGAGACATGTATATGCATAACAACTACAGTGAAAATGCAAAGCAGTATAAAACTTTAAGAAAAAAAAAAAAAAACAGTTCAGGGGCACCTGGGTGGCTTAGTCAGTTAAGCATCTGACTCTTGACTTCAGCTTAGGTCATGATCTCACAGTTTGTGAGATCGAGCCCTGTGTCAGCTCTGCACTGACAGCACAGAGCCTGCTTGGGATTCTCTCTCTCCCTCTCTCTGGGCCCCCCCCCCCCCCATGCACACACTCTCTCAATAATAAATACATTAAAAAGCCAAAAAAAACCCAAAAAACCCAGTTCAGATAATCTCAGCCATGAAATAAAGGTTAGAGAAGGGAAGGCAATAGTTGTGGACAGACTTCACTAAAGAGAAAGCACCTGAAGGCAAGGACAGAGTACTCTAGGCAGAGGGCAAAGTATGGGCAAAGGTTGAGATACTGAAATGAGTATGGCAGGTTTAAAAGACAGTAAAGAAGTTCTTTTGGATAGATTAGAAAGATCACTTGAAAGCCACAGAAATAAGACTACACAGGTAGGACTAATAAGAAACTAAGACAAGTCACAGATGCCTTTTGAGCATTAAACCAGTAAGTCTCCAAAACAAAACAAAACAAAAACAGTGGCACCCAGAGAGGTATAGATCTTTCCCCAAATCCCATGTATAATCCTGATCATAACATTGGCCCATAAGAGATGCAGTGCAGATTTTTGATTCTCCTTCCTCATTTAAAAAGTTATGTAACTGAATCAGCTCACAACCCCACCTGGTCCAATGATCAAGATACTCTCTTCCTAATAGACTCTTTCCACCACCTCTCTGTTGCCACAGCACAGCATTAAGCATTATTCAAACACAAGTGAAACCACAAAACCACAGACCTCTGGCTGTTTCAGTCCAGACCATATAGTCTCTTGTAGAGACCAGCCAACTTATCCCCGTAGCTGACATCGTGGCCCTAAAGGGTCCCCTTTGTAAAAACAAAACAAAATAAAACAAAACAAACGAAGAACAAGAACAAAACCTTCTCTGCATTTCTCTGTCAAATGGACAATCTTTTTTTTTAAACTTACTTTTTTTTTAATGTTTATTTATTTCGAGCAAGAGTGCAAGAGAGAGCATGAGTGGAGGAGGGGCAGAGAGAGAGAGAGGGGGAGAGAGAGGATCCCAAGCAGACTCCAAGCTGTCAGCACAGAACCCGAGGCAGGGCTCGATCCCACAAACCGTGAGATCATGACCTGAGCGGAAACCAAGAGTTGGCTGCCTAACCGACTGAGCCACCCAGGTGCCCCCAAATGAACAATCTTTTAAAAGGGGCTCCAAAGACTACAAGTTATCACACTGCCATATCAAAACAAATGAAACTGGAAACTGAGTGGGGACTATACTGTATATATGTATACATTTATGCATATAGATACATAATTTTTATGAAAAAATGTTTTAATGCTTATTTTTTGAGAGAGGGACAGAGTACAAGTGGGGGAGGGGTAGAGAGAGAGCGAGACAGAGCATCTGAATAGGTTCCAGGCTCTGAGCTGCCAGCACAGAGCCTGATGCAGGGCTTGAACTCACAAACTGAACTGTGAGATCATGACCTAAACTGAAGTTGGGCATTTAACCTACTGAGCCACCCAGGTGCCTCATACATATATATCTTAAAAACTAGTTCCTGGGCATCTCTATGCACAGCATCAGCACATAAAACACTCAGAATAAAAGATAAGTTCTACCTTCAAAGAGTTGAAAATTGGAAATGTAAGACAGACATACAGGAGACATTTAAATAACACAAAGCTGTGTGATGTATATATTCATACATATTCAAAAATGCCTAAATGATCTCATCAGTGAGTGATACACTATTTAGAGGAAGCCACATTAACCTCCTTGCTGTTTCTGAGGTATGCTAAGCATCTCAAGGCATTTGGCTCTTTCTCCAAAGTCCTCATTACTACCTGATTTATATTTACTTGTTTACTGTCTATTTGCGTCAATGAAAATGTAAGCTCCATGAGAACAGAACTGGTTTTATTCACTGCTGTATCCCCAACATTTGAAACAGCGCTTGGCATGTAAGGGCACTTAATAAATGATGTGTTATATGAATCAACCGACTGAGAAACTGAGCAGGCTAGAATGGTTGAGGGAGGTAAGCTAAGGTAAACTCATGCTTTTATTGGAAGAGAGCATTCCAGCAAATGAATGTATGTGATGTGTTTAGAGGGTAGAGCAAACTAGACCTGCTGGGACTGATGAGCAGCGGAAGGCAAGGCTAGGGCAAGAATATAAAGACTGTTGAATGCCAGGATGCCTAAAATCTCTTCTAGCTCAAAAATTCTATGATTCTGGGTTTCACTCTATAGCATAGGAACATTACTACCACTACAGAGCAGGGACAGCTTTTGAAAAAGGACTGACATGATGAAATATGTGTTTTAGGAGACAAATCTGGTAGCAGTATTTGGATATATTAAGAGCAGGGATATCTGGAGCCTAATGACACAATCCAGGATTTAAAAGATTAGAGTTCAGATTGTGTGGTGACAGATACAGAAGATATTTTGAAAGAAGTATAAGCAGAACTCAATGATAGGCTGACAAAGGAAAAAATGATTTCCAAATGTGAGCCCAAGTAACTGGAAGGGTAGTGGGAACAGTGGTAAGCGAGAGGAATTCATTTGGAAGAGAGGCTCATGAATACAGCCTCTAGACGTTTTAGACATCTTGGTTTTGAGATAAGAGTGGCAAAACTATGTGGAAATGTCTAGAATACTGTTGAGACATCCTGGAACTGGCACAGCTGGGAGCAGACAGAAGGATATCAGTCATGAAATCACCATTAAAATCCTTTATTTTTTTATTTTTAATCTATTATTCCATTTACTTCAGGCAAACTCCCTTAGCTTTTAGGGTAAACTGACCAACTTTAGATCAAGGGAATCAATTCTTGGTTAATTGTCAAAAGCAGGTGGTTGATCTGCCACTCCCGAGAATCTACTGCCACTCTTGGCAAAGGAGCTTGCTCTTCTAGGATCATTTGTTCTGAATATTCTACAAATGTAAAACTGCCAGGAGTCCTTTTGTTACTATACAGAGAAAGCCTGAGAATAAAATTAAATGGAGGCAAGGAAAGGAAGCACTAAGAGAGAGGTGGAATTCCAATGATACTGTTAAAACCCCAAGAACCAGCTGTGCCTGAGGTGAGCACCACACTGCAGACTTCCCAGTTCAGAGAGTCAAGGCAGCTTGAGTTTTGTTTTTATGTCCTGTCACCCCAAAGGGTCCCAATTAATGTACCAAATACAAATGCATACAGCTTTTAGAATCTAGAGTCCTTGAAGCTAACAAATGCAGAGTGAAAAGGAATCTGCCTTTTATTTTAACCCATTACAGAGCACAGAAGCCATCACGTAATTAGTCTAAAAGGTACTAAGGATAGGATCTTAGCCTTGAGATGCACAGAAGAATCCATAGCAAGATAGAACTAGGGAAATGCTCTTGAGACCAAAAATATTTCTAACTTTGCTATATATTGTCAGACAGACCTTATTTCTAATCCCTTAGAAAATGTGTCACTAGCATATAAATGTACTGTTTTCTAGCATCTCTACGAAATTCAACTCTATCATTCAAACCAAATGTCACATCATTCAAGAAATGCCTACTCCACGACATGAAGAACTCGGCTGATTAGCCAACTTTCACTTATATGTGTGAAAGACATATATAAGCAAATGCAGTTTCCATTTCCTCTTCCTGCTGGCCCAGGAGAGAAAGTTCATGCTCTAATTTGAGAGAAGACACTTAACTCAGGGAAAAACACTCTGATTACTTACCCTTGCTCTCAAAACACACTTCAAACATGTCATAATCTTCAGTGGTAAAGGCAAATTTCCCCTTGGTTGCATCTTCCTTGGAGTACAGAATATGACCAGCAGAATCTGTGATCTAAAAGAAAAAGTAAGTAAGAGGAGGAAGAAAATAACACTGGGGAAGAGAACTTACAGAAACCGGAGAAATGGAAAGAAACACTGTCTATAAAAGACAGTTGATGGGCGCCTGGGTGGCTCAGTCAGTTGAGCGTCCGACTTCGGCTCAGGTCATGATCTCACAGCTCGTGAGTTCGAGCCCCACGTCGGGCTCTGTGCTGACAGCTCAGAGCCTGGAGCCTGCTTCGGATTCTGTGCCTCCCTCTCCCTCTGCCCCAACCCACTCGCATTCTGTCTCTGCTCTCTCAAAAATAAATAAACATTAAAAAAAAAAAAAAAAAAAAGACAGTTGCTATTTCCCATTATGATGACTATATTCACTCCATTCCTAAAGACAAGAACTGGATTAGAAGATGAAACCCAGGGGCGCCTAGGTAGCTCAATGAGCTAAGTGTCCACCTCTTGCTTTTGGCTCAGGTCATGATCTCATGGTTTTGTGGATTTGAGCTCCACACGGGGCTCTGCGCTGGCAGTGCGGAACCTGCTTGGGATTCTCTCTCTCCCTCTCTCTCTGCCCCTTCCCCACTCACACTGTCTCCGTCTCTCTCAAAATAAACAAACTTACAAAAAAAAAAAAAGAAGATGAAACCCAAATATAGCAAATTTTATTCATTCAAACAGTATCCACACTGATGGCTAAAACATGTTGCTGCTATAGAATGTCTTACCATACCCTAGGGCACCTGGGTGGCTCAGTTGGTTAAGCATCCGACTCTTGATTTTGGCTCAGGTCATGATCTCAACGATTCATGATATTGAGCCCACATTGGGCTCCTCTCTGTCTACCCCCTACCCCCACTTGCACATTCTCTCTCAAAATAAATAAACTTAAAAAAAAAAAGTCTTACCAAACCTAAAAGCTGATACAGTTGATATAGATTGGGTTTATCAGCAAAAGTTCACCTTATAAAATGTATGCCAGTATCATTATCTAGAAAGAGATATGTCACAAAAACAAAGCAGACAATTACCAAAAGAATACACGACAAAAGACATATAAGAACACATCTCTTCTGTAAAACAAACTCTGATGGAGAGGCAGTAGGGAGCAGAGAATGGAAATGGGACACTGATGCAAAAAGAGAAGGAAAAAGGCACACATAGAGAAGAAAACATTAAAAAAAAATTAAAATGAGGGCTGAATAAAAGGTTTTAGGGCACATCTTCTCAATTCCCTAAGAATTAACAGTAGTAATATTAATCAAGTATCTTCTGCCATGAATGATGTTGATCATTAATTTGTCAATGCTTAGATCTGCACTGGTCATTCAGGATACAGGGATGGGATGTGTAAGACAGTTCTTATCTTCAAAGGGCTTAAAAGTCTAAATGAGGAGACGAATAAGAAATGAGACTTCACTATAACGTGAAAACTGCACTACTAGAGGTAAGTACATGTGCCAAAGGATATGGAGGTTCAGGGAATATACTGTAGAGAAGGTGACATGTGAGCTAAGTCCCATAGGATAAGCTGCAATTAAGGGGAAAATGGGGAGGGGGGTGCCTGGGTGGTTCAGTCGGTTAAGCATCCGACTTGGGCTCAGGTCATGATCTCGCAGTTTGTGAGTTCGATCCCTGCGTTAGGCTCTGTGCTGACAGCTCAGAGCCTGGAGCCTGCTTCAGATTCTACATCTCCCTCTCTCTAGGCCCCTCCTCTGCTCATGCTATCTTTCTCTCAAAAATAAACAAACATGAAAAAAATTTTCGTTAAAAAGGGAAAAATAGGGGTGTAAGAACATTCAGGGTAGAAGAAATAGCAAATATGAAGACTGAAAAAAAAATATATATATAGTACCATCATAATACTAATAACTAGTATTTACTAAGCACTTATTAAATGTTGAGTACTATGCTAAGTGCTTTATATGCATTTTAAATTTAATCTTTATTATAACACTATAGATAAGAACTATTATTTCTCTCATGTTCAATAGCAGGAAACCAAGGCACAGAGAGGTTAAGTGGCTGGAGAGGTAGTGGCCAGATCATGTAGAAATGCAACACCAGGGGCACCGGGGTGGCTCAGGCAGTTAAACGTCGGATTCTTGGTTTTGGCTCAGGTCATGATCTCATGGTTGGTAAGTTTGAGCCATGCAGAGCCCGCCTGGGATTCTCTCTCCCCCTCTTTCTGCCCCTCCCCAACTTGCCCAGATGTACTCTCTCTCTCAAAATAATTATAAACTTAAAAAAAAAAAAAAAAAAGAAATGCAACAGCATGCTAAGGAGTTTAAACTTCATTTGTACAAGTGGAAAGGCAATGAAGAATTTGAAACAGGAGAGTGATGATTCAGTTTGCAATTTAGAAAGATGAACCTGGTAATACCATGAAGACAGACTCAAGAGGGGACAGTGCTAGAGATAAGAAGATGGGTTAGGACACTATTCCAGCACTCCAGGCTAGGAATGATGGGGAGAAGGGGATGGATCTGAGGGATTTTAAGGAGGAAGAGGTCATAGGACAAGACCAAAAAGTCAAAGCCTCCCAGGATCAACTGAGCAACCTAAGTAAATCGCACGGGCGTCAGTCCACAAGGTGGTAGACAATTTGGCAAGATGAGAAGATACACCGGTCTCAAGGGAGAAACCAATGACTGCCATGTCATGCTGGGTTTTCAGATCATTCAATTTTTTCAAAAGAAGCTAGACATTTTAACTTTTAGTTGAAATCTCCTAAATTTTAGATCTTTACAGCCAATCCCAACATATGAAAAACTATGTCAAGGCCAAACAAAAGAGGTCTAGGGAACCAAGTTCTTCTGGGCCAACAATTTCTGACCTCTGCACTGGACAAGAAAAAAGGTGGCTAAAATCACATGAAAGCATTGCTGGGAAGCATGGAGGTCTCAGCTGAGATCATGGGCCATGGATTTCTAAGTGGCAACACTTAGCAACCAGGATGTAGGAACAAAGAAAAGTAGTAAGTGATCTAGGCTTGAGGTTCTGCAACTGTTTTTGGAAGGATACAGGGATTAAGGAATTATGCTATAAACTTCATACATAATATTTATTAAATTTTCACAACAATCCCAGAGAGGCCCGTCTTATTATCCCCATTTTAATGACAAGGAAACCTAGTAGCCTGTTTATCACAGAGTTAATAAATTCTGTATGTGCATTTGAAGTAGTGGAAAATCCATGTTCTTCCTCCATTCCATGTTGCTTCCCCACAAAAGGAACGTGTGAAAGAATGGAATGCACAGATGATAAGAAAGACTAAGAAACAGAATGTGATAGATTCTCTGGGTCCGTGCAAATCAGAATGCGTAAGAGTCCTCTCAAGTGAGCACTGCACTGTTCAGTCTGCATTCTTCATCTTGGAGGGACTAGCAGGCAGCCGCAAGGTAGAGGTCCTGAAGCAGCAATAACTATATAATCTGCAAGGAGAAGGGAATACTTAGCCCTGAAGATTCCTAAAGGCCTCCTGTTCATGTGATACTTTTTCTCAATCAGCTAAAAGAAAAGGCTTTAGAAAAGACTACTTTAGAACCTTGAATACACACGTATTATAGGGCAAAAATTGGTCTGGGAACTATTCAACTCCCAATGTGTAGTCACCAATGTGACAGCAATGTGTTATTCTCCCTTTCTTCAGGATCTGTCACCCATTAGGCACTCGTATGTCCCTGCTCCCTAGCTCCCAAATGCACAACGACAATACTTTTAAGAGCAAGGAGGAAGTTCAGAAAGAATGACTGCGGGAATAACAGATTTTCACATTCCAAGCTGATGAAAAAACTCTAGCTTAGTTTGGCTCCTATGAATAAAGTTGCAGAAAATGTGGAACTTTTCTAAGGCTTACTTGGATAAAAACAAGCTTCCAGATTTGCTTACACTAGTTTAATTCCTTTTTCTCTTTAAAGATTTTATTTTACAGGGCACCTGAGTGGCTCAGTCGGTTGAGCATCTGACTTCAGCTCAGGTCATGATCTCATGGTTCGTGAGTTCGAGCCCCGCATCAGGCTCCGTGCTGACAGCTGGGAGCCTGGAGCCTGCTTTGGATTCCTGTGCCTCCTTCTCTCTCTGCTCCTCCCTGCTCGTGCTCTGTCTCTCTCTCAAAAACAAATAAACATTAAAAAAAATTTTTTTTAAAGATTTTATTTTTATGTAATCTCCACACCCAACATGGGGCTCGAAATTACAACCCCGGGATCAAGAGTCGTACATTCTACCGACTGAGCCAGGCAAGCACCCCTAATTTAATTCTTAAGGCAGTAGGAAAGGAATACAGGCTACTAGAAATGTTTAATGTAAATGAAACCAGTAGAGGACAGCAAGGAATAAGCATCAAGAACGCAGCACTGGGGCGCCTGGGTGGCTCAGTCAGTTAAGAATCTGACTTTGGCTCAGGTCATGATCTCGTGGTTCGGGAGTTCAAGGCCATGTCAGGCTTGGTACTGACAGCCCAGAGCCTGGAACCTGCTTAAGATTCTGTGTCTCCCTCTCTCTCTGCCCCTCCCTTGCTCACACTCTGTCTCTCTCAAAAAATAAATAAACATTAAAAAAAAAAAATGCAGGACTGAACAGTCACCACAGATGCCATCATCTCCACAGTCAGGCAAGGAAAGAGGCCAGGTCTTTCCTAGGAAAAACCTAGGAAAAACACTGACCTAGGAAAAACAACCCAATTTAATTGTGCTTGGCTTATGATCTCTTTTATCTCTTAAGATATTAAGAAGGTTTGGGGCGCCTGGGTGGCTCAGTCGGTTGAGTGTCCGACTTCAGCTCAGGTCACGATCTCACGGTTCATGAGTTCGAGCCCCACGTCGGGCTCTGGGCTGATGGCTCAGAGCCTGGAGCCTGCTTCCAATTCTGTGTCTCCCTCTCTCTCTGCTCCTCCCCCGTTCATGCTCTGTCTCTGTCTCAAAAATAAATAAACTTAAAAAAAAAAAGATATTAAGAAGGTTTTTCAAAAAAATTTACTAATTTAAGGACAGGAGCTTGAGCTAGGTGATAAAAAGA